GAGAAATGCAGGTTATAAGTGATAAATGGACAAGAAGATAATTATTTCAGTTGTTTATATTAAAAAACAATGGCCACGTTATTAATACGAGTATTCACAATTATTATATAGAAAGCCGGTGTATTGTTAAGAATTATGAATAAGAGACGAATTGTAAGTTTTTTTGTGACTGTTGAAGTTTTTCAATACGGGATTGCTAACAAGATATGGTTTCCGAATTTATAATATTTCTTAGTCTAACTAAGTCAGGGAGAAAAAAGTTTTCTAAACATATCAGCTTTTTATTTTTTATATAATAGTGTGTTGATATATTTCACTGATTCCGACATTCCGGCGTAGAAGATATACTAAGCCGGTACATCTAGGCGCTGTCGGATGACCTTCAAAACAGGATAAACGGCCATTAAACTTGGATTGCGGTATTTGTTAAATTCCAGGCAATACGTTATTATAATTAATTATTACTTAGGCAATAACGGTATCATTTATTTTTAGTATGTACTGAAGCATTTGTGTTTTATCAGATAACTAGATGAAATGGGTATATCATATTGTTGATTTTTTGTGATACTATGGTATGTTAGAATTGCGATTAGTTATATTCTCCGAGTAAAAAAAATAATTAATATTGAATATGGTTATACTGACTAATGTTTACAATTATATTGTAAAAATACATAAAGTTAACTATTAATAAATATAAATTATTATTTTCTCCATTTTTTTCCCTTTCTCAGCTAAAATTTATAAGGTTAATAATACAAACAATTTTTATAAATAACTTTTCTGAAGGGTTAAAAATGTACAAAAATTAACAATGCGATTTCACTGAAAGCATAATGGCTCGGGTAATTTTTAAAAAATATTTATTTAAAATGTATTTCTTTATATATACAAAATATAATTGAATACGTAAATATAATAAAGAGTTTCTATTGCCCACTAATACTGGTAAGTTGGCCAATCGAGATAAGTGATATGACACCTCTTCAGCCATACAATACGTCATGCATTGTAGTCAAATGAGAATTTGGTACTACTGATTCAGATAGCGTCTTCACACACCATATCTGTGTCATTTGCATTGTCATTGCCACTCCTAGGCATTGTTTGGCACTTTGCTACGTATGAATATGATACTGCCATCCAAATATTTAGAATTGTTAATATGAGATGAATTCTTTTATATACTCAGAGTCACTTCAAATAAAACCATATAGAAAAAAAAAAACAATCTAAAATCCAGAGAAAAGCACCATACATTATTACTTAATAGAAATTGGAATGCATGAAAGTTTCCTCAAAAAGGTTCAAATAATAGCTTATAACTGGTCGATAAATCTTGTTTGATTAATTTATTTTAAATATTTTTTCTTTCAAATTGGTATCTTAATTGTTTATACCATATAATAAAGAAATTATATAGGAGATATATTTAGCAGTTTCGATATATATACATAGCAAAAGACCGAATAGACTGGCATTAAATAACCATTTACAATTGGAAAGAAATCATAATTAAGGAAATTGTAACTGGAATATTTAGAACGATTCAAAAGTTTCATAAACTAAGAACACAACTGCTGCCATGAAGAAAAAATAAGTAATTTTAAAGCACTAAAAGAGACTCTCAGGATTATGACAACAGCGACGAAATTTCTAGAATTTAATTTTTTTTTTTTTTTTAAATAAGGCTTTAATGGAAGACAGTGAAGTTATACAGCAGCTTTCTAAAATTAAAGGTAAATTGAGGATGGAAGAGAACCTCGAAAATGCAGTACAATGAAGCAAACGAGTTGCGAAGAAGAAAGTACGGCGTGAACCTATTAACCTGCAAATACAATACGAAGAAAGCTTAATTCTCACAAGAGTTTTATGTACATATGAATTGTGAGAATCTCGCAGATTTCAAGAAGTCAATCCGAAGAATTATCATAAGAATCATTACAAGAGAAAGAATATTGAAGATAAGACAGAATACATGAAGACATTTTAACGCCCTTCGAATCATCCCAAGTGAACGTCATATCTGCTTCAATCAGGGGTACGATCTATTGTATTCGATGGGCTGTCAGTAGTGACGAAAATTAAACTGTAGAAGATTTACAAGATAGGTTTCGAGTTTATTTTAAATTTAATTTTTGTTAACAAGCATTCAGATTGTCTTCCATTTCTAATTACTTCAGGAAGTCATCCCGTAAGTAATAGAAATGATTCAATATTTATTTCATGATAGATCTACACCCCAGAGCCACTAGCCATTTGATCCATCTATCAGAACTGTCAGCTGTGTATGGGCAATAGACGAGGCGTCAATCCGCCGTTATAGCGAGCTGAGCTAGCCGCCGCAGAATGCAGTCGTGACATGGAGCTATAGGAGCTGCCCACCTGCACCACTTTTTGTTAGCTCACAGCAACTTCTTTTTCCCAACGGTCCTGCCAGGACTAGGCTAGGAAGCGACTCAGCAGCCTTCAAGGGGCAACCCTACCGAGATATCTAAGAAACGGACAGGTTTCTTTAACAAGATGGATCACCTGTTTGATGTGGTACATTTCAACTATGTAACTTAGCATGGAAGGTTCTACCTACATACAGTGCTCATACTTGATTTTGCTTCCTCGCCATCGAAGGTATACCTTTCGAAGCTAGACTGATCTATTTCCTTTTTTTTTAAAACATATAATGTGGCATAGTGAGGTACCTTCTTTTCCTCTAGCTTAAACATGCTAGCGTTAAAGATCAATCAATCCCACATTATCGATGATAGAAAATCGTTAGAATTAACTTAAAATAAGAGATAAAGTAACTGGATACCACAACAATAAAATAAGTGAAGTTCAAGAGGAAGTAAAGGGGGAATTAAAACTGAAAACTACTTGTTATTTCTGAAGCAAAATTACTATTTATACCCTGAGATACTCCCAACTTCGAGATACTCTCACCACTACACTGAGTTAAAGTGGCTCTTCCCCTACAATTCCTCTATCATATCATCAACAGTCATCGTCCTTCCTACGCCTACAACCTTCTCCAATTCAAGTCCTGAGTCCACCCCCTTTTCAGAAGATCTCGACCTTCCGACCTTTACATTCCTTCTCACAGATCTGCCTCGTTACAAAATCGTTTATTGCTCGCTTTGTTAATTTCTGGAATTACCTTCCTATCAAAATTCGGCATTCTCCTTCCCTATCTACATTTAAAACCCTCCTATTCCAATTTCTACCCCAAAACCCCCGCTAACGTTTTATGTAAATTTACATATTATTCAAAATGATTCACATAATGATATATTTACATATAATTCATCACTTAAATACTTACTATCAGATTCTTCTTCTTTTTCTTTTTTTTTTCTGCAGAAGCACAGAGTTTATTGCTAAAAAAAATGTAATGTATTTTTTATAAGTGTATACTTATGTTTTACCACTGTACATAGTTTTAAGTGTCATGGCATGGTTTCAACTGTTTTGTATATAGATTTTTTTTATTTTGTACATAGTATGTTTAACTAATATTTTCTTTACTTTTTTTTTTTTTTAAGTTTACCTTTTATGTTTGTTTTTACTTAGGTCAGATATAATACTTTAATTTTGTAGTTTTTGTTATTGTAAAGGGACTTCGGTTCCAGAATAATATTATTTTTTATTCTATTCTATTCTATTTACAGAAGCTTGAAAGTAAGATTTTACATAATTATTTAACTGTGTCTGTAATTTACTGAAAGAATCACAACTGTGCTACGAGCACTATTTAGACTCATCATAAAGTTCTATCCCTTGGCAAAGCATATTTGAGAGCATAACATTAGGCCTGATCTTGTTAATAAAAGATCTGCTAATTATTACATTTCTATTACCTTCCATAGTTAATTCAATTATCAAAAATCTACAAAGTTTAAAATGAAAAATCGAATAATAGTCGAAAAGCGTTTACATCATTACATAAAATTCTGAACTTTAATTCTCAATTTCTGTTTTAATAATTTAAAATTTAGTATAAAGTTCATGGGTCAAGTGATAAATAAAAAGCATTGTTGAAAAATTTGAAAGATTGATTAAAAAAACATTACCAGATAATGTTATTATAACATTATTTTTGTAAATAGTTTTAGAGCAGTCAAAATGCATTTCTGTAATCTGAGTCTTTAAAGATGCAGAGAATTGGCATGAAGAAAGACTTATTAAATTCTTCACATACGATTGAAGTGAAAACATCAACAAGGGGAGATTAATAAAATATGAAATGTCAATTATAAGTAATAGTCCATTATAAAGAGTATCACATGCTGAACATTTCCCTCGCTTATAGTATGCAAAGCCGATTTTTAGTTTCTGAGATATTTTAATCCTTAATCTTCAATAAAACTCATTTGTTACCATTTGGTTGTCGAGACTATTTTTTCCGTTTTCCTTGTCTAATACGACGTCGTGTTAAGATACAATTTTGAATAATAGGTGATTACAAAGAGGATGAAATGATGAACATTTTCCTCACTAACAATATGCAGGACCGATTATTTGTTTTTGAGATATTTTAATCCCAATGCAAAAATACGACTCCAGCCGACTTTACCTCAGCGATACACAACGAAACTCTGACGGCTCCATCTAATTCACTCTCCACAAAAAAGAGCAAAACGCGATTTTTAAATACTTTTTTTATCATTACTTTCTGATTGCAGTGATGTACTGCGAAAGTTATCGAGTATAAAAGTTATCAAGGAACGTGTAAATACTATTTATACTGCATCGATTTAAGTGAATGTCAGTAAGAAATTTAATCTATTCGAAGTTTAAATTAGTTAAGGAGAAAAACTTAGGAGGTATTAAGAATCATGTTTTTTAAAAGGGAACATCCAATCGATATTGTAATTTACGTTTTAATTTAATGAATTTACGCAATATAAATTAATTGGCATTTGTAATTGAATTGGTTGGTAAATTATCAGAAGGAAAGTGCAATTGATTATCAAAGTTAATTACAATGCTATTAATTACAGAACTACACTGGAAGGTACAGCAATACTCCTCTTATCTGAAATTAGCGAGTTCACTAACCCCCCGGCCTATCCCCAACTGCCTTACCTTTCAACGCTGGGCGCTCCTCAAGGTTGCCTCTTCCAGGTCAAATCCCCTTCTGTTTCTTTCGTTCAGCTCTGTCAAAGAATTCGCTGCGCCTTAAAATATCCTCCTATTTGATATTGCTTTTCTATTGAACCATAGAGTAATTTTGGTCCTTCAAACAGAAATAACCTGGTCCTCTGATGAAATATTTACTGCATACGTTTTCCGCAATAAAACAAGTCGTTCTATTTATATTTAACGAGACAAATACTTATATAATACGTATATTATATAATAAATAAATACTAGCATACACCAGCGTGAAATTTCACAAATAAATATATATTTTACAATATAAAATTATTATTAAGTTTGTCAATTCAACATAACATTTATGAAGCTTCACCATGACTACTAAAGTAACAATTTACTTCATTAGTGGTTAGCTTGACCTTCTAGAAAATACTCTTAAAGTTTAATAAATAAGCAATAAGACACAGTTATCCGTGAACTTAATCTAATTTATTATTAAAGTTTCTCAAGACCTAATTATTTGGTGCAAGGCTGTCCAGAAATGCACATTAAATTTTTCGGGGCACATTTTGACGGGATTTTGAATTTTTAAGAAGGGCATATTTTTCGAATGATAAGTTTCAAACCAAGGGACATGGGGAAGACATGGAACGGAACGCAGAATGCGTAAATGTATATAATATAATCTACATTTTAAGAAGATCAGATCAGAGCAAGAACATATTTTGGGAAGGGAGGTAAGGTTCATGCCCCATCGGTGTTGGGGGAGAAAGAGGAAAGATGGGATCGAACCCCTGTTTGGTGAAGAAGAATCTTGTAGTTCTTTCACTTACTAAAAGTGTGGACCTGGATACATTTTTAATTTATTATAAATATCAAAAAGTCTCTTTCCTATATTATCCGAAGTACCCCTAGGGATCATTAAACTATTCTCCCTCATAATACCCTTTCAATAGATTCATAGTTTGTCGAGGACTGTCATAAATAACAATATTTATTTCTAACATTTTTTTAAACAAATTTGTTAACATTTTCCCATGGCAACCATAGTAGGCTTTTGGTAAAAACTTTAAAACACAAGATCTTGATTTGCCCGCCGTATAAAATTTTCCTTCGTTGGATACCTCATTTATCAAAATCTATCTTTCCTAAGAGCCGAAAAAAATAACTTTATATTATTGGTGTAGAGTAATTAATAAAAACTAATGTGTCCGAAATCCCTAAACAGAAAACTGATTATAAAATATTTTCATTCTGTGACCAACAAATAAATACTGAAAAAGTATTACAACCGTGTATAAAAAACTAAAGGAACGAAGGAGTTCTGTAGTGAAATAATTAATATACGTTTAGAATCATACCGAATAAAAAATACAATAATAAAAAGTTTTAATTTTATAATTTATTGTTGCAATATTATATTTTATGCGTAGGTATAATGTTTTTTTTTTTGTAATGATATTTTGCTATAATATACACTGTTGGAAGCGTATTTATATGAGTTTATAAAATAGTAGTGTATATTAGAAAAAGATAGTATGTAATAAATATTTTTTAGAAATTATACTTGAGAATGGACGAAGAGAGCCCGAAACATTGTCAAATTTATTCACTGGAAGAATTAAATTGAAGAAGTTTAAAAGGGTTGAATTATTTTACAGTTTCAATCAAGCAACACCTTTATTGCAGTTAATTATAACATTTAATATAAATATTTTAGTTGTGAACTCGTTGTTAAAAGTCATAAGAAGTTGACAGATCGGTGACTTGGGGGAACAGGTAGAACAAGTAGTATTGGGGTTGATTGTCGAGGAGGGTTGCATACATGTCACAACGTGCATGACACCTTTTTAATTTATGGATCCTTGGGGGTCCATAAATTAAATAAGTTGTAAAAGGAATTTCCAACATAGTTTAATTTCTTGAATCAATTTCAGTAATGTGATTATTTTATTACGTTTCCTTTGTACATTTTTTGCATTTAGTGGTATGCAATACCAGTGACGTGTTTATAAGTGAAGCTCCGGAATCTCCTGGAGTCCTGCTGAGCTCAGAGCAAGTGGGGGCACAACCATAGTTGGAAATTCCCCATTATGGTGACAAAATTGTATGTAATTTAGTTACGTTTTTTCTAATTAGCTAAGATTGTTTATTTTATGGATGAAAAATATAGTATAAATGATTATATTCTTTATTTAAAGACCTTGTAGATCTTTTGTCGCCTTCACCAGCCTTCTCGATCTCCACCTATTTTGGATCAGCTTTCCAGGTTTCTGCATGCAGCTCTGCAGCATCTTTTTCAGCATCTCCATCCATTTGGCGTTTGGCCTTCCACGTGGTCTCACGCCTATTGAAGCATTTATTGTTGTTTAGAGGGTTCCAGATGGATTTTCCTCCGTTAAATGTCCCGTCCATATTAACGTCCTTGTCTTCATATCATGAGATATTGTATAAACAGTTTCTGACAACAGTTCTTTATTGATTTTTCTTCCCCAAACGTTAGCTCTCTGATTCCAGATCGCTGCGGTTATAGTGCAGACGAATCTTTCATTAATCTTTAAACACTTCCAGAATGCTGGTTAGAGTGCAGCATTAATGAAAATTTACTGTTATTTATTACAGTATAGAATCTGCTTCCCTAGGCGTTAGCATTCAGGTCCCAGATCACTCTGGTTGTTGTGGGAAATATTTTCTTCTCGAATCTTTCAATACTTTTCACCAGGATGCTGATCAGTGTCTAGATATAGCAGACGTAAATATGAACTGGCTTTACCATAGAATTTTACACTCTTATTATGAGATTTCTAAAGATTTTTCGGGTCCTAAATATCTTCGAATGGCAGAAAAAGCTCGGTTTCCGCTCCAAACCTGTTGTGTTACCTTAGATTAAACTTATAGGTGAATTTCGGTCAAGACAAAACTGACTTTGTAGTTTTAATTTTCTAGTCACATCCTTCAGGTTTGGTGGTATTTTCTCATAATTTTTATATATATATTTTAGGCCAAAGGTCTGTAAAATAAAACTGTGTATATTTGGTGACCTTTGGCCTAAAATATATGTAAAAAAAAAAATTTGTTGTTTTATTTTTTAGATTACCCCCATACCAGAAAGAAACGTCTAGAAACCGCCCGACTTTTCGACTATTGGAGCACTTACTAGACAAACGCTCGGAACTTCCAACTATTCAGACTAAAAGACCCACATAAATTACTATAATAAGGCCTATTTGGACTTACGGGATGAGCTTTGGCGCTCTACTAAGCCATCAAATTCCTCTCGTATCCAATCCCTACGATCCAAAATCCTTCGTAAAATCCTCATAAATTCTCTATCAATTAAATCATTCATAACGACCTTAATGTATCATATGTTTCCGATTTAGCTCAATCCAGATAAATATCCTTCCATAATAAACTTCTGAACCATCCGAACCCTCTTGTTTCCAACCTTGCTTCCTCTTCTATTCCTGATAACCCTCCGAGGCGTCTGAAAATAAGAATGCCTCGGGACCTTCTAATATAGAAATATAATTGGAATGCTACCAATGGGTAGTTACTCTTCATGTTGTGCACGTCATGTTACTTGTTTCATATTTACTTGTATTTATCATTTAATACAGTTGTAAATTTCATTAACAAAAAATATTTTTTTTAGGTTAACCGTAGTTTTGGTAATACCAATTATAACTTTATCAAATTATTTATCTGAATAAATGTAAGAAACTATTTTAATCTACCAGAAATACAGCGTGTTTCATTACTACTAGTTTTATTTTATTTTTTAGCATTATTGAAAGAATATTTATTTCTACTTCTTTTCTAGTTCTGGTATTGTTTAGTCATACTAGAAAAATAAATAAACAAATTATTAAAAAACAAAAAAACATGAAAATATTAAGATAGTCCAAGCAGAAGAGAACTTGGTTTCCAGCCTTATTTCACCTTATTTAAGTTTCTTTAGAACGCTTATATTTATTATTTAAATTAAGCACATACTAGTAAATAAATTGTTATTGTAAATATACAGTTTAAGATTTGAGGACGTGGAACCAATGAGAAGGGAAATAGCAGTACACTTTCCCTCTGTTCGGCTGACACAATTAAAGAGCAAAAATGACTCAGCTCAGACACCCAGATGTCATGACACTCTCTCCGCATGCCTCCTCATTCTGGTCCCTAAAATACCATCGCTAAATGGTAAGGCTTTTCAGCACGCAACAAATGTCAAACGGATTGCGTGGAGTAGCAAAGTCTCAAATATTTTGCTTTACATTGATATATAAATAAAAATCAAGATTTTGTGGATACAAATTTAAAATAAGTAACACTAGTTCATATGATTTTATGGATTTATTCATCTGCTAAAATTAGTACGCAAGGATCTAAGCTTGGTAAAACACTAAAGGATTTTTTTTTTCCTACCCCCCAGGAATTTCTTGATTTCAAATACAATATATATATATAAATGTACTAAAATTCAAAATCAGCACTAAAGGATTCTGGATAGAATTCTTTATATACTATTTGAATTGCTCAACATTCTCAGCATTAAAGTATCTACGAAAACGTAAAAAAGAAAGAGAAAAAAAAGCAATATTCTTCTTTAACAAGGCCAACATCAACGAAGATGAGTCCTTCAGAACCATTAAGTCAAAAAGCACCGTCCCTAATCGAAGCGAGGCAGCCATATCTTATACAAAATACGATCGACTCTCGATAAATCGAAATCCAAGGAACTAGAAGAAAAATTCGAATCATCAGGAATTGCCAAGAACTTAGAAAAATCAGGAAGAAAGAAAAAAAAATTCGTTTTCTTATATTTTTGAAAATATGTATGAGCTTGCATTAATTTTGTATATACCTCCTGTAAAAAATATGACTAGAAAAATTTCGAATTATAAAGAGGAGGAGTGGTCTTATTCGAATTATAGAACGTTCTCTCCACATATTGTTACGAAAATGATTTCGAAGTTCAAAATGAATTCGAGCTGTCAAAATAGCATTTTTTCGATTTATAAAATTTGAATTATCAAGAGTCGACTGTATATAATTTATGTGAACTAATCTTAATATTTAATAAGAATCATATAAGAAAAAACTTT